TTTTTAAATCATAAGGGTGCAAATTAAACATTATTAAAATTAATTTTTAAGTATTAGTTTATTGAATTCAACTCATAAGTGAAGTACAGAAATATTTTAAGACATTTTAAATCAATGTTTCCTAAAGGATATGCCTCAACACACTGATGAGTTGAAGTTAAGATATATATATCCAAAGTGTGCCGTGACTTATAATGTGCTACAATAATAGGAAAAAAGTTAAAAACCACTGCTTTAAATGATAAATTTTTTTAAAATAACAAAGGTCTTAATAAGAAAATTAAATTTTCAGACATCATAAGTTGTAAGAGTCTCTTTCCAAATTCTTGATCTAATTGCTGGATTTACATAAGGACATTAAAAATATTTATTAAATAAATAAGTTCAGTTTAATTAGAATTACAAAATTTAAATCCCCCAAAAATAATCCCATACATATTAAATTTTGTATTACTTTTGTAAAATTGCATATCATATATATATAAAAAAAAAAATTGTTATATTATCAGTGATATACAAATAGTCAATACTTTTAAATATTATGACTATACTAATAAATAATAACTATAGGCGTAATGAATATTTAGAAAGTTTTAATTTTAAGTGTAATATTTTATTTATATTTAAATACATGAAAGGCCTAAAAAACAATAGAGTAATAAATTTTAACTGTTAATAAACAACTGAGTATGTATATATATCTTAATAAAATATGTGAAAAATGAGTTATGAATTTTTATATTGTATATATGTATTTTTTTCTCTTTTTTTTTAGTATTCTTGTACACGTTAAATAGCAACTATCTTACCTTATGTTTCATTTATGTGATCATATAACTTTCTTTTATATATATATATTATTTACTACCCAAATTTTTTTTTGTGTATTTACAAGTCCCACATATAATTACTGTTTAATCTCTGTTTTAGGGAATATATTAAATTACTAAATCTAAACTTATCTATTATCATTAACTTATCACTATTAAGTATTATAACTCTTAATCTTCAACACAAGCTTATGTTTAGGTTGATAAACCATATAATTTTTTTTATTATTGTTAAATGTTTAAATTGTATACATTTTTTTTTTAAATTGTGATCAATAATAAATATATATATTATGTTAAGGAAGTGCTAGTATGTAGAATTTTTCCATGTTTTGTGTATACTACCATCCTGTAGTATGTTTCATAAAGACAATTATTTATCATTTTTATCTAATAATAAAGGATGTCTCAAAAAGAATGCCAGACTTAAAACTTCTATAAATCAAATTTATTTATGTAAAAAAAAACAAAAAAAAAAAAAACATATCATTTCTTCAGAAGAGATTGAGATTTAAACATGAAAAATAATATTGGGCATATGCCCCCCATGTAATCAAGTGATGAATAAACTGAGTGATCACATGTAGGGCAAAGGGGGGAGGTATATTCCTGGTATTATTTTTAAAATTTTCTAAAGAGGATGATGTTTTTTATTTGTTATTTTTACATAAATAAATTTGATCTATTAATGTTATAATCCGACGTTCTTTTTGAGACACCCTATATTAAGTATAAATATTGTTGTAAGATAAAGGGAAAAGAAAAGCTGTTTTTGAAGGAAACATGTATAGTATATAATACACAAAGAATGTAATAAAAATGTCTATGAATTTTAAATAAATTAATTAAAAAGTGAATTTTCAATAGACTAGTCAAAGTATAATAAGTCTAAAACAAAAGAACTTATGTAAAAGTTAAAATATATTTATATATATTTAAACTTATAAACATTTTAGATTAGTAGATTTTAATTATTTATTTTAGATATAAATTATTGATACATTTTTATTAAGATTAAAAAGATTATAGATACAATTTTCTATTAAATATTGACAATGGAATTTGTGAATTAGACATAATCTTCATGATCTTTTCAATGTCTAAATTCTTGAAATAATTTACTAGGGAATTATTAAATTTAAATGTAAGATTATCTAAAACAGTATTTCCCAAACTTTTTCTTAGCCAGATCCCTTAGAAATAGTAAAAATGTTGGCGAAACCCCTCGATAAAAATAAAAAACAATAATATAGTACTTTCAATTTACGTTAGGGATCCATGGACCACAGTTTGGAAAATACTGATCTAGAGCTTACATTTGTATTTTTTATTTTAAAACAAGTTATAAGGATTTGAGATTTTATAAAACATTTACAATTCTTTAACATATATAATATGTATAAAAATTCAAAATTTAAATTAAATAAACAATTTGCTATGTTGTACATTTATAAAATAGAGAAAATTTTATTTATAACAATACTCACCAATATAATTTTTAATTGCATATGCTCATAGGTAACAAATCGTAAATAAAAAAAATAAAAATTCAACTAAATAATAACAAGGTATATTATTAATATTTTATAATAATTAACACTAAATAAATACCCAAACACACCTAAATTATTTTAATAATTTATTTATCATCATATTTGTATCCATAGTACAAACTCAATTAAATAAATAAATTAAAGGCCAAAAAAATTATCAACACTAATAACTATAATTAAAAAAACTGTTGGACACTTCACAGTACCTACCCATTTTTTTAGACAATAAAAAGTGAAAAAATCATATCAACTGTTTCCAAAATCAGTTATATATTTAGATTTGATAAAAAATCAATTTATATTAAAATAACTCCATCTCGGTTGAGTTACTGTATTTATATTAAACAATGATTGTAAATTATATAGGAATTAAAAAGATTACGACTTCAAAGTTTATATACATAAATAAATTAAATTTGAGGTTCTATGGATCGATATTTTCAATAAAGTAATGAATACTGTAAAATTAGAATTAGGGAAACGGGAACAATGTTGTTAATACATTTTAAATACAAATCGTTACCACAAAATGGCTTCTTCGTAGGGTGGCAATTAACAAATATTCTTTTCCTAATAATAATCTTACCTGCGATATTTCAACTATTATAGCAAAGAAGCGATCAAATATGGCTATTGAGTGAAACCATAACACACTTAATAAATTGATACAACTGAGTACGAACTAAATTATACACATAACAGAAAACAAAATAAATGATTAAATTGGAACTAAATACAACGATAATATCAATACAAAATAATAAAAATAAATACTACATAATATTAACGAAGCTGGCCATAGGCGGCTAGTTGAATACTCGAATGTCGATTAATGTGAATTACTGAAATGGTAATTGCGCACGCGCAAATGCCGGGAATAAAACGACTTATTCCCGTGGAAGAAAAACAAAATTTGATAAAATCCATGTACTTAAATGTTCATTACAAATTACAATTATTAATTATTATATTCGAATCAGTATTCACTATTCACTATTCAATAAGGGAGTAATGCCAATGACAGTAACCATCTAATAACTATTTGTTTTTAAATTCGAATATTAAATATTTTTTATTTTCTACGACGTGACTTTCGTAGGTACAAGCACAGAACTTGTATATTAATTGCAAATCAATAGCCAAAGTCATAATAAGTAAAATATTATAGTTGGGTATATTATAATTTATAACATTATTATAAATAGTTCGTATATTAAATAATATAGCGAATTCAACTCATCAAATGCTCATTCCGTTGATGATGAATAGATTATTAATATTGTTACTATTCGTGATCCAGACTACCAGTAAAATACTAATAGTATAATACTATATAATATATAGTATTAAGGCAATAAGATTATCAAGATTTATCTAATAAAACTATATAGGTTAGGCAAATTTGGCAAAACATTTATTTTTGTTGCACAATTTGCACATAAGTCATAAGGAGTAATCTATTCAATCACAACATTCACAACATCGTCAGTTGATCAATAAACAATTCTTGTACCAATTCAGGTGTCCAAAAGTACTTCTAGGTGCATCACATACCCCCCATTACACATAAGTGCTCTTTCTCCATAGAGATGCTTAAGCTGAGAACATATAAATATCAACTTTATAATTATGCAGTTCAAAGCTAAATAAGTATTAAGCGTTTATTAATAACCGTTCATTTAAATCTTAAAATGTCTTATGTCATTATGGTTGATAATTTGATAATTAACACATTATTAATTAATTCATCTATATCATAATAATTCAACAATATAAATATCAAATTATAGTTGTGCATTTGTAATAAATGATGAGTTTTTGTTTCTAACCTGTAATTAATTTACTGAATAATTAAAGTGTTCAAATTTTGTAATAACCTAATAGAATAGACTTAAATTGTGTTTTTTAATAAATCAGTATTATATTGACACCATTATTATGTTACATGTAAAAATGTTTACATACATGGTTATCGAATACCTTGAAAAAATAGCAAAAATATGTAATTCAAAGTGTTTAACAATTTTTAAATGCTAGCAAATAAAATTAATAAATTATATGTACATTTTATATTTCATGTAGTACTGTATAACATTTGAATTCATGGATAATGTAAAAATAATGTACCATCACGAAAGAACTAACAATTTAAATTTAAAAACATGAACATTGCTTACAAATTAATATTTTTTCAATTAACTTTATAATTGATGTCCGACTACCTCAAAGTTTATAGATCTATAAATACTTCCATTTACTTTTTTAGTTTTCTATAATTTTAAGAATTGCAAAATAATGTTCCAATCTCAGAAATAAATTTAAAAATGTAGACAATTTCCAAAACAACTTTGTATTACAATTTTACATGAAAAAATTATTCTAATAAATCAAACAAATAAATATTTTTATAATTAATAATTTGTACAATACATTTTATGTAGTATAGTGAATAAACCACTAAAAAAGATTATCCAGATTTTTAAAATGTTACAAAATATAATATGTGTTTAATATTTCATAGGAATAATTCATATAAAATTTAAAGTGCTACTGGTAAATTTATGATAATAAATACATTACTTATTTGAATAATATGCAGAAATGTCGCAAATCAGACTTATAATTAGATAAACTGATACAGTTCATCTTTAAAATATATTTTTCAAAACTTTTATAATTCATCATGTTCTAGGGATTCTTCTTTATCTTCTTCTTCATCTACTTGTTGATCACCAACAGATTCTTCATCATCATAACTTACTTTTTCATCTAAAGGAATGCCTAATGATTGTCTCATTAAAGCTTCAACACTTTCAGCAAAGTCTGCAGACTCTTGGAGCATGAATCCTGACCGCAATGTTGCTATAAAATAAAAATGAATACTTAATAATTTTTTTGAAAGAAAAGAAGTAATGATTTTTTATCATTATTTTTGGTAAATTAAAACAATTTTAAAAATATTTAACTGATGTAAGACAAAAAATGGTACTTATCAGTTATCGCGACTACCTAGCGAGACAAATTGAATTGTGGTTATTATTACCGTCCGTATAAATTTTTTGATTTTCTTTTTAGGAACTTAATAACGTAAGCTACTTAAGAACAATGGTACAATCAGAGTTTGTCGTTCAGGCTTAGTTTTGATGTTACGGTCTTTGGAAGTTAACAACTTGGCGTTTTTAACACATCATTCTAGTCTACTCAGTACATTAAGAATATTGATGTTTTATTTTTTCACTATAAAATATGAGTAATATAAGTATTTATTAAAGTGACTTTCTTGGTCTGCCAGTTGACCAAAAAAGTAAATTTAACCTTATTAGTTTAAATAAAACAAGCACAAGAGAGTATACTGTTTGGGCGAGGGTTTATTCAACTAAATTGTAATAATCAACTCAATAATGGTTTAACACTAATTGCGTTGGCAAATGGCAAGTAAAACATCATGTTACTCATTTTACTTAACTAAAAGAAATCCCCACACCAATGCTAATAATAACCACCAGTCACTAGGTAGTTATGATAACCAATAAATACCAAAAAAATTAATCACCTGTTCTAAACAACATAACTGCAATATCTTTTGCTTTTTGGTCTTCAGGATCATCTTTTACTCTTCGTAACAAATCCTTTATAAGAGGATGGCGTGGATTTATTTCAAGGGATTTACGTTGCTTTAAATAAAATTCTCTTTGAGGATCATCAGCTTTTTGGTGAGCATTAGATAAGGCTAACCTTTCCATATTACCAGTCCAACCAAACATTCCAGCAACAAGAGCACATGGAGATTCAGCTAAACGATCAGATACAACCGCTTTTGAAATCTAAACAATAAAATTAAAATTAATATTACAAAACCAGTAGATATATTATAAATTAAATTACTTGATCTTTAAGAGCATTTTCGCCAAACCATTTTGTAAGTGGTTCAAATTGAACTTTCAATTCTTCTGCCTTTTCTTTATTTTCAGTGAGAGACACACCCTCTTTAGCTACATTTTGAAACTTTTTACCTTCAAATTCAGGAATAGCAGACAATGTGTATTCATCTACAGCTTCAATTAGATACAGAACTTCATATCCTTTACGAATAATGCCTTCAACAAAAGGAGAACGTTCAAGTTCTGCTTTGCTAGAACCGGCAATATAATAAATATGCTCTTGTTTTTCACTCATGCGTTTAACATAATCTGCTAATGATGTTGGAGTTTCTTCAACAGATGATTGGAATCGCAACAACTTGGCAAGACGGGCTCTATTAGATGGATCTTCAATAATGCCCAATTTTATGCTATAAAATTGATGAAAATTAGAATAATTCTTACTTGAAAATAATATCATAATTACTTACTTTGTAGAATATTCAGCCCAGAATGTCTTGTATGATTCAGCATCCAACTTTTTAAGCATATCAAGAGCTTTACGAATAAGTTTTTTTTTGATGATTTTAAGTAACTTATGTTGTTGTAAAACTTCACGTGAAACATTCAGCGGTAAATCATCTGAATCTACAATTCCTTGAAGGAAACTTAAATATTTTGGCAATAAATCGGTAAATTCATCTGTTATAAATACTCTTCTAACATAAAGCTTAATGTTGTCCGTAACTGTACCATATTTGTTAAAGGTATCTGATGGTTGAGCAGACGGAACATAAAGCAAGGATTTAAATGATACTTCACCTTCAGCATTAAAATGTGTATAAGTTAATGGATCCTTTGTATCTTTAGTTAGTGCTTTATAAAATTCATTATACTCATTTGCTTCTACATCATCAGGTTTTCGTGTCCATATAGGTTTATGGTTATTAAGGATTTCCCAATCCCAAACAGTCTTATCTACTTTTTTGGTTTTTGGTGTTTCTTCTTTAGCATCTTCTACTGCTGCATCATCATCCTCTGATGTCTCTTTTTCTGGCTGCTCGTCTTCTTCAATAGGTTCTTCTACAGATTCAGTTGTGCTTGACCATAAATAGATAGGAAAGTTGATAAATTGAGAGTATTTTTTGACTAAAGTTTTCAGAGTATTTATTTCTAAATTATCAAGGGCTTCCTCTTTCAGTTGTAAACTAAACAATAAATAAAAAAAATAAAAACTGTAATTAATAGAATCTTTATTAATTTTAACAAACCTAATTTGTGTTCCTCTCTTAAGTGTTGGTCCTCTGGGGTCTTCAACAATAGAAAAACTGTTGGCGTCTGATTCCCATATATATTGTTTATCATCATTGTGCTTAGTGGTAACCAATACTTTGTCAGCAACAAGAAAAGCAGAATAAAATCCAACACCAAATTGTCCAATCATGTCATTCATATTCTTATCTTGACCATCTCCGGAGTTTAAATTACTTAAAAACTCAGCAGTACCAGATTTAGCTATGGTGCCCAGATTTTTTACCAGATCTTCACGAGTCATACCAATTCCTGTATCAGTAATATGCAACATACCAGACTCTTTGTTCACCTAATTTACAATATAATTATTAAAGACATAATATCTAATGAACTTTAATAAGACATATTATATCTATTTTTCAATTTGCAAGAGATAAATAAAAATTGATGAAAACAAATCAGTATTAATATAATTTCATTTGTTATACCAGTAAAGCAGGAATGTAACTTCTTCACAGCTAGAAACTCAATTAGACAAAAAATAACAAAGTTATAGAATGTTTAATTAAAATTAATAAGCTTTGAAATATTTTAAAAATATAAATTATTTTTGAAATAGTATAAGAGAAAATCATTATTTTAATTAGATGGTTAAATTTTAATCTATACTCAAAAAATGGAGTCAATAAAGCTGAATAAAAGAAATCTAACATATTAATCACTGGTGTTAATATAGATCTTCACACTAAAAATTAAATTAAAGATAATCAATATTATACATTACCTTAATTCTGATAGAAAGTTCATTAGTTGCATCTAATAGGCTACTATCAGACAATGCTAATAATCTTATTTTATCTAAAGCATCCGAAGCATTTGAAATAAGTTCTCTTAAATAAATCTAAAAACAACAATTAAATATAATTTTACATTTATCAAAATTAAGTAAAAATAATAATTACTTCTTTATTTCTATATAAAGAGTTAATAATAAGTTTCATCATTCGATTAACTTCAGCTTGGAAAGTAAATTTCTCTGCTTGTTCTTTCAGCTCTCGTAACTGTGCAGCATTTAAACCATCTAATTTAATTCGTTCTTCTGCCACTACAGCTGCATTATCATCTGTAATAATATTATACCTTAATTAGATTAAAAGAGTTAATATTATTATAAAGTTTGGTTTAATTTTTTTTTTACAAAATTCTTTATTATGACATCTATTATAGAAATGGACAATTAATAACATGATTAAATTAGTCATAAAATATTAGTTATAATAATTATTATTATATTAGATAATATGTATTTTTTAATTTACTTAACTATCTATCACAATAAAGAATAAACATGTCATTAAATAAAAATATATCTACCTACCTACATAACAGAAAAAAAATATCAGTGGTTTTTTTTTATTTACAACAAGATTATATTATGATTGATTTAACAATATTTACATTAATTTTTATTAAAAAATTAAATAGGTATTAAAAAATAATGCATAATATAATTAAATTGTTATGTAGTTGCGATTAAATAGTAAGAATGATAATAATAATATACAAGTATAATATTTAAATTGATACTAAACCTGTTTTTTTATTTACAAATAAATACAAGTAATTGTGTTGATAATTTTAACTAGGATAAACAACATGAAGGAATGAAGCATCTATTAACACTATTTTTAGATATTATATTTTTTGAGTAATTTATAATTTTATGATTTATATTATTAAATTAATGTTAAGTTGAAAAACTATTACTTTTAAAAATAATATTTTAATAATGTTACAAATTAACCTATACTTATTTAGAAAACTTTTTTCACTAAATTTCTTTAATTAATATCTGCAGCATATTTCTACATTAAACATAAATATGAACTTGTAATAAATTTTACCAGTAACTGCTCCTTCTTTGCTGACTCCTTCAACAGTTGCATCAACTGTAAATGTTTTGAGTATTTCTCCTTCGCCTTCTAGGTCTTCAGCTACACACCGCTCTAAATTTAATAAAAAGTGTTAATAAATTAAAAAAAGAAATCGCCTAAAACTTGACCGATATTATATTATATCCAAAAAAGAAAAACCGTCTTAAGTCAACTTACCAGTCAATGGCGAAAACGCCAAGGCTAAAAACACAAGTATCAGATACTTCAGTTCCAACATGTTGACACGACTTAGGATCAACGTGTAGAAACAAAAACCGATTGTCACCACACGAAGTACCTATGAACCGCTCTTAAATGTCAGTGAACTGTCGATGTCCAATATCGAATAACGTGCACTGTACTCCACAGACTGAAAATAACAACTTTATTATAGGGACATATCGCAGAGTTTTAACTTATAAATCTTAACGCAGACCAATGAGAACGCTACACGAAAATAGAACCGGCCAATCGAGTGCCATTATGTGGCTTTTCTTTAGGAAAACACGAAGTGAAGTTAGTGACGTCATTTTTATCTATGTGTCACACTGATCCAGGATTAACTGACTGCTATGATCCGCTCATAATTAGCGAATGACGGCCATAGGTTTAAAAAAAACAGTTGTTAGCATGCCGGTCGTAAACACAGATAATAGAAATGATAAAATAATCATAACAAATAAGTAAAAACCATTATCTAAGAATCTAAGATATCTTCAAACTATATGTTTATTAATGAACTATCTTAATTTTTTTTTTTATAGTTCGTGGTAACAAAAAATAACTTAATACGTCTTGATCGTCGGTATTACAAAATATATTAATTTAGATTTTTGCATTTTTATTTTGATGAAAAACGGGTGAACCGTTCTCGGTATTAAAAAACAACACTCGCTTAAAGTGTTTGAGATGTTTGGAAAAACATCCCTCGCCCTCCTACGATCGCTGACCCGTGAGTTCCGGTACGTCACATCTGACAGTAAGTTGCTCAACCGACCTTTAATACAGTTAATACTGTCCGAATACCGATCAAATCAAGTCACCCCGGCACAGTACTGTCGTGGTCCCGACGAGATGATGTGGGTCGCCGATACATATTTTCAGTACATACGATCGCAGCGTATATGCCGCGAGCTCAACGAGAAGCATCAGAGGCGAGAAAAAACTGTTCAAGAAACGGCGGATATGATCGGTTTTAGACTACCATCATCAACAACAAATGACAAAGACAATTAAGACGTATAATTTTTTTGTCTGTATATAGATTTTTGAAAACATTAAATGTTAGGAGAATTTTCTGTTTTTTTTTTTTTTTTACTACCTATATTATTACTTTTGATACTAACATTTCTATATTATCTTAATATATATATTTATAAAGACTCGATAAAACCCAGGCCTAAGAGTTAGTTTTATAAACCAGTTTAAATTCAAGTTAGTACTGTTCAAGGATCGTACGGCATTAACGTTAAATGGTAACCAGACACAATTACTGTTGTGGTGTAAGAGTACTTTTCTCTGTAGCGTGCAGATGTTGCGACTCTTATAAAAGTTCAAAACACTTGGTATATCAATGATAATATCAATCGTAGAATTCTGTGGTTCAACTGTCCCGTGTGAATTTGTATTTATTTACTTATATAATTTTTAAAATACATTATCGTCAAATAATTCTTAACAATAATAAAATGATGTTTGAGCTGTTAAGAGAAAAAGAATAAAATATAAATTACTTATGTATACATAAAACCAATATCAAATTTATTTTTAATAAAAAATTCACTTTTGAATATTGACAGTTTGATGTAAATATGCAATACATTACTACACTAATCCAAGGCCTATGATGTCGCCAGATGCTGCATCAAATGTTATATTTGGACGCCGCGACGAATGCTGAGAATATATAAGAAAACAATTACATTCAAAATACAAATGTTCAATATAGTATAGCGTTCAATGCTAAAGAGAAAACTTATCCAAAACAATAGAATTTTACCACCACCACTGTAGTGTGTGGGTTTCAAAAACTTTTTAGTTAAACTAAAACAAGTTCCCTTATTCAAAATTTTACAAATATAACTTTTATGAGTTTTTCTTAAATTGTTATAAAATCAACAGTAAAGAAATCCTTTTCTAATATAACAATTTAAGATAAAGTTTTATCTTAAAACATTATCATTTTTATAACACTTAACCACAATAGGTGGTATTTTGTGAATTATCAACACTTAAAAAAAATTTATTTTTTACATTTATTTTTCAGAAGCTTTATTACAAATACTAATTAATATAAAATTGTTTCCTTAATGTATATATTAAAAATAGGTGTCGTGCAAAACACAAGTTGCAATGTATTTAAAAAAAAAAGTTGTCTTTTTAACATTAAAATTAATTTTCCTAGCAATTTCCATTTAAAATATTTGAATTTTTAGATTCTTTTAAAACATAAAATTACCTCGTACTAAAATAGGAAACTTATATAACAACATATGCCCTTAAATGTTGTGACAAATTAAGCGTTTTCTTATATTCTTCAAAATTAATTATATTACAAAATCATTCTAAGTGAATACACCATAAATTAGGTAGTCAAAATTAAATAACACTTTAATGATAAAACTAACATAAGTTAGTACTTAAATTTAAAGAACATAATTATAATTATATTATTAGTTAAAGAAATAAAAAAAATATCAATCTGCTGCAAACATATGATAATACTTTGAAGTTAAACAATTTATTTTATTTATATTTATTATCAATTTTAAAAGGGATTAAATTTGGGGCCAGGTCCTGACATATTTCTTGGTCCAGAAGGTCTTGGATATCCACCTCCACCCATATTATTTGAAAAAAATGAATTAGGAGGACCAGAGTTGTCATTACGCCGAGAAAATGAGTTGTTTCCAAAAGAATTTCCTCCGCCACCACCACTGTTACCACCACCAAATGAATTGTTTCCAAATCCTCCAAAGTTTCCACCATTTCCTGAGTTTGGTGGTCCCATATCATCCATACTAAAGTTATTACCACCAGAACCTGGACCACCTCCTACTGGTCCATCCATAAATAGTTCAATGTATCTGTGTTGCATGTATGTCTTATCCTATAATTTAGAATGCATAATTTTAATTATCATTTACAAATTATTAATGATTAATTACTAAAGACAATTTTACTTTTGACATAGCTCTCATTGCATCTTCTTTGTTACCAAATTCAACATTTGCTTCTCCAGATGGTCGATTATTGTTATTGAAAAGAATACGTATATCAACAGGTTCCAATGGTTCAAAAAACTAATTTGAAATATTTATCAAAATTGATACAAAAAATATTTGCTTCATAAAAAAAATATAAATATACTAACTGTAGCAATATCATCCTCATTTGCTTTAAAGGGTAATCCTCTCATATGTACAACATATAATGGTCTACTTGGTGGAGCATTCCAGTTATTGCTATTCCATCCTCCTCCACCACTACTGCCGCCCATCATACCTTGGCCACCTCCACCTCCTCTTGGTCCACCCATACTTCTACCACTACTCCATGGATCACCACCATTATCATAACCATTATTTCCAAATGACTTCATATTACGTCCAGTCCTCATAGGCATATCAAAGTACCGTCCACTACCACCACTGCCACCACCACTACTAGCAAAACGATCCATTCGGTCATATGGAGTTTGTCTAGGTCTTCTTTGCAGTGCTTGATTGCGAATTTCTGCTAAACTACTGCGAAATATCTCAATATATCTAAAGAATCATAAAAAATGAGTAATTTATAAAGTGATGATTTTAAAGAAGTATTATTTTAAATCTTAATACAATTGAGATACCTAATAATAAATTGAATATAATATAAATTTTTACTATAGTAGAAATAATTATTAAGGTTTAAATTAATAATAATAATAAAATTAAAAAAACAAACCACAAATAAGGAGGAGCGAAGGATTACCCTCCCGGCCTCCCTTTGTTTAACTACATGTGATTATATTACCCGCCAATTTTTCACCAGGATAATTAATAAAGGAAGACACCCCACCTGTGTCCTATTTTCTCCTTGTGTTTCTGCAGAGCTTTCTCTGCATTCTCTCTGTCTACAAATTGTACAAAAGCTTCCCCCGTACTCCGCCCCGTGAAGTCGGTTGCTATGGTTATACCGTCTGATGTCATCTCCAACCCTGTTGCCCACAATACAACCAATCATAGATAACCCAATCATTAGCACAACCAAAAACACAAAAATTTCAATTAACAAAAGGTAAATATTATTAAATTTTAAAATTTTAAAAATTTGAAGACAAGGCAATTCATTAAGATCATTTTAACTGTTATTAATTTAAACTTGTGATATTTACAAATTAAAACAATTTACTCCTACCTTTTTTTTTTTTTTTGTCAATAAATTAACATTTTGGTTTAATGTTATTAAATATTTTTAATTCCTGCCAATACAATTTTATTTTTAAATAGTAATCTATTCATTTTTAACTGTTCACAAATAGGTTACAAGTAAATATTATTTTATGTTTAGAGGAACATAGTAAATTAGTTATATCTATACAAAACAAAAATTATTTGGTTTAGTATTCAAATGTTTAATTTAAATAAATTATAAGCTTTACCTAGTAAAATTGATGTTAGAAAAAAAAAACTGTTAAACAAATATCACAAAACTGATTTAAAATATAAATCTTATTGAATCACCAAGACAAAGCAAATTTATAAGTAACCCATAAATTAGCAAGAGAAATAAAAAATAAATTTCAATCAATATTGTTATAACATTAAACAGAAAAGAATACCTTGGAAAAATTGTACAATATCATCCTTGGTAGACCCAAAGGGAAGACCTCTTAAGCGAACACAATTATCATCTAGTACACTGTCTAGTGTTGAACCAGTTTTTTTAATAACCCATTCCATTTCTGAACGTTTTGAACGAAATACTAAAAAATAAAAATATAAACATTGTTAAGTTTTATTTTATAACTCATAATCAAAATTTATAATTTAGTTATCATTGACTAAGATATATTATCGCTTTACACAACCCTTAACAATATTATTAAATCATGAACTGGTATTTTATGTGTATCAGTTTTGGAGAAAAGAGTTTTCTTTAACTTAAAGTGTTTTCAGACATCAAATACAATGTAATTAATACTTTAAAGAAAAATTCCAATCATTATCTAGTAATTGAGAAAAACTGACAAAAATTAATGGAGATATCCAGTTTTTGTCCCTCAATAACCTCAAGCCGCAGCTGCAATAGGTGAAGTTAACACATACTGAGTTTACATGCTCTCAAGTATGTTTTTTTATTATTTCAATAATTGTCTAGTTTACATTTTACTAAAATTAACACTGAATATAAGTTTTTGGTTGTAGCTGATTGAAAGAAATAAAATGAATTTAATCTAAAAGGGGTGTAGTCTGAGTGAATAAGACAAAAACTTATCACTGCTTGAAGTTATTGTTATTGAGAGACAGTTAGTTTTTTTTTTTTGTAATTTAGAAAGGTTAATTATGAGTAGAGGTCAGAATAATATTCTTTTGTGTCTAATATGTGATTACGATGCACAAGTTATGTACACTAAAAATAAATTTGAAAAATACTTCAAAAATAACTCAAAATTTTCATTAATAACAATCATGATCGAGTTCATATTTTACGACATTATATTGTGATGTGCAAGTACGAAAATTTTTTTTCAAAGCTAAATTATAATGTATTGTTTACTAAAACAAAAAACAAACAAAATATTTCAGTAAATATATAGAATTGAATCATAATTAATGACCTTTAACAATTAGATTATATATTTTTTTAATATAAAAGCATATTTTGAGAATATAATACTGTAAAAGCATATTTTTTGCATATTTAACTATAGTTTTTAAAGAATAATAGAAAAATATCAATTTTTAAGAAGAATATTAGCATCTTATTTTGGCTATATTAAGAGAATATTATTATATTAATTATTTCAACCTACAGTTATGACTGTTATGAGTTATTAATTTATGAATTAAAATGTCTATTTTGCATTAGAAAACTTTTTTTCATCCCCAGTAGAGTGACTTACAATTTGATTTGATACAATTTAAGTATAAACCATATTTTTAATACAATATCAATCAGCTAAACTAATTATTAAAATAGTATATAATATAATTTGAATTTAACCTTCAATATAACGATTTCCCATATGTTCTCGATCTTTCTTAAGAGCAGCCTTAAGGTCTTCTTCTGATTCCATTTCAACATAAGCTTCACCACTAGGTCTTCCTTCTCTAGCCATAGTCAAATGTACTCCAGCAGTTCCATCTTTAACCTTTGCTTCACCTATATTATAAATAAAATAGATTAGATACATTTATTTTAAATATGTAACTATTACATACATTTAACTAAAACCTCTAAATTGATAATTTAACTTTAAAAATTAGACCAGAATTAATTTAATTGTTAAATAGGATTTATCCAAAGTATCAGTTTAAAAAGTATGTACTTAGTATATATTTAGATTTCATGGTTGTTCTTTTAAATGAAAAGCCATGTTGGTAAATATTTTCAATATATATATTGTATCTTTAGTTTATTGACATTTGATAATACAATATTTAAAAATACATTTTGTCAATAACAGCAAACTTTTAATTATACATGAAATAATGTGACACAGCAACCACGAATAAGTGAATTCCAGACATACAAATCCTCAGAATGGAAGACAAAAAGTTAGCATAAAAATATATATCCAATAATTTCAACACCTATAATGCGAACTGGATATTTTTAATCAGAAATACAGTTCTTTAGTTTATGTTTTGAAACTTTAGATTTTTTTCTAACCCTAAGAAAATTCTTTAAATAATACAGAGTTTACTGTATAATCTACATCACTTTATTAAATATATCTAATTCAAAAAAAAAAAAAAAAAAGAAATAATAAAAAATATTATTCATTACATAAAATTAAAAAAAAAACTAAGTATAAAATGAAGAAAATATTTATTAATACATAATTATTTCTAAAAATAATAAAAAAATTAAAACTTAAACAAGAATAATAAATATTCTATAAGTAGTATGAGTATATCAGTTTGCTTAAGATTTTATACATTGCAGAAATTCTACCACAGAATTATAGATAGAATAACACTATCAACCATGCATTAAAGCTGCAGCTAATCCTCACTGTAAAGAAACTGCGTAATTTACTGATAGTCAGAATGGATACGTAAATTTAACCAGTTTTTGTCTGCAGTTTAATAAACTCTTAATCAAGTTAAATAACTATTATAATTTATTCTTAACATACCCAATATGCTTAAAAATTTGATTATATCATCAGCCGTAGCCGACCATGGTAGGCCACGCATTTTCACAACAAATCCTTCATTAGACTGACTATCGTCTTCATCAGTTTGTTCATTAGATCTTTTTTGATCATCATTCATTTGTGGCTGTGATGATGGTTGTTGTTGTTGTTGCTGCTGTGGCTGCTGTTGCTGTTGTGGTTGTTGCTGCTGTGGTGATTGTTGTTGCTGTTGATTCATTGTATCTATATAATGAATACTAAAAAATAAATTGAAATTAAAACATATGTATAGAAGTTTTAAGTAATTGAAGTATATCAATACAAATCAATAAAAATCTAATACGTAAAAAATTATATAAACAATATACTAACGATATTTACTGTTCTATAACAAACTAAGACCTTAATAATAGTAGATATGTTATTAAATCCAACAAATTTCAAAGCTTATAATTTAAACAATTAAATTTTCATACCTTTTATGTTAATATAACTGCAGTTATTATAATATTTAGTATTTAAAAATGAATTTGATTTGAATTGAAACTATTTACTTTAATTTAAAAAATTATATTAATCATATTTAATAACATCGTATTTGAGAGAAATATATAAAACAATTTAAAAACATAAAACGGTTCATAAGCACACACAGAAAATGTAGTTTACTAACAATGCTAACGAAATTAAACTGTTCAATCTTGAAATCAGTAATTCTTTAAATAAAGTAGAATTTAAAACACATTCGTAAACTGATCAATGGCATTTAACAAATAATAAAACAAAATTAATAAAGAAGAATCAAACATGAATACATTTTAGACAAAATGGCTGTCTCAAGCGTTTACTTATCCAATTTATATAATTTTCTCATCCATGTATTATTGTTTTCATATCCATGACAAACCGCAAACTCAAATTTTTATTCCCAATCCATGTGAAAACAGAAATTTCTTAAAATATTATATTTTTTAAGTTTTTCTGTTGTTTAATTCTAACATTTTTTTAATATATAATAAAATCAGTTTCCTAGTAATTTTGACTTAATTTATATAAGTGCAAGCATAAAAAAATTTATTTAATTTAAAAATAAAAATAAAGTATTGCATCGATTTATATTATTTGTCCTAATTTTAATTTTTATCTAGAATAGAAATGTTTGAAAAATTATATTTTTTTGAAAAATAATTGGTTTATTTTAAAGATTACCAATTCAGTACTTTGTTATTTGGAAACACATTTCGTCTGAAAAGTACCTATTTGCTTAGAAAGTATTTACTAGAAAACGTATGCATTTGAAAATAAAATTATTTTTGAATCCTTTTTAATTGGAAAGGCATTTTCTTGGAAAAATATTACCTCAGAAACGTAGTATTTTTTTGGAATAACAAATGTTATTATGATTTTGAATTATATTATATTAATTGTTATTTATTAGAATAATAAACAAAGCATGCTATAATTTTTTTAATGTGTTAGATATAAACTTCTTATTTTTATACTTACCACAGCTGAAGACAAAACAATCTTGAATTATAATTTTCAAATTTCATTTAAGATTTTTTTATTATTTTAGGTAATTTTCTTGGGGGGGGGGCTGGAGGAGAAGTACTGACACCATGGTAATTTTCTTGGGGACACTTTATCTTTTATGATATTAATTTTAAAAATCATGGGTCGTATATCATTCACCCGTTCATTTGTTAAACTATTTTATCCACTAACCACATACAATCACAATTTACAAATTATTGTTTAAATAATTTTTTACTTTAAAATATGACTTAATTTTTAAAGTATTAGAATCTATACAGATGCACAAAAATTAATTATTTATGATACATTTATTAATAAAAAAACTTAGAATAAAGGATATGGCGTGGTAAGAAATCTCATATTAGAGACACTTAGTGGCTTTACGATAAATAATATTTAAACATTTTAATAATTATTATATTTTATATATTTTATTTGATTCTATCTATTTAACCCTTTACCCTAATATATATAATATATTTATATATGACGACTTGGTCTTTTTAATGTTTTCGTTTTGTGACGACAGTATTTAACATTTTTCCAAATTATTTTTTTCACAAAGTTGTACCAACTACCAAATACTCTTAGTTCTTACGAGTGATCTATTTTTCACAATTTAATTTTATTAGTCATTGCAGGTATACTCGTTTACATATTATGTCGTAAATAAATAGTTGCCGAAATTATAAACTAAAAATTAATGTAATATTTTTAATGATAGTTTTAATATAGAGAAAATACTGAATAGCTCAATTAGGTATATAAATTGCATTATTGAAAAATATTAATACCTACAACTCTTCTTATGGATATACGAATAACACATAAACGTGTTACGAATGTTACGATCTGCCCCGTGCCCGGCAACGAACGCACGCCGATCGTTAATTGATTATTATTGATTATTATTGTTTTATTTATAATTCAGTTTCTAATACTATTTAACAATTGATAAAATTAAGTAAAATACATTTTTTTTCTTCTTTAAAACACAATATGTGTTGATTTAAAAATTTCATTTTAAAAAAGCACAGATTACACACGAGCAAAGCCGGGTAATTCAGCTACCTACTATATATAAAAAAAAAACAGCTAGTCAGTAGTCTAATAGACTAAGTCTATAATGTTTATACTATAGCTATACTGAATATTCTATTATAAGTTTTAACAAAATAAAAAACAAAGCTGACAAACATTAAATTACAGAATAACTATAGGCCCTTTATATATGTATATGAGAATAATTCTATGCAGTAAACACTTGATGAGGTTAGGTTTACTTGGTATAATAATAATATGATATGAAGATATTTTTTGGTAGTAATCATGAACTAAGATATACAGGACTAGACACTGATCGGTGTGCGGGTATGAGGGGTACGGTCAGTAAATGTTACGCCGCTCCTTTAAGTGGATTTGGCGCAATCTATGAGAATAACTTTGCAATTTAATTAAAA